CATTGGGCATAATCAGGATAACGAGAGCTTGAAAATATCAATAACGAATACGTCAATGCTTTGCTAAATTTTGAATGGATATTTCGAACGAAAAGGCAATTAAGAAGCCACCAACTTCGTTATATCCAATATAATAACAAAGAAGATGGCGAGATCCGTTAAAATAAAATTAAATTTCATTAAAGTTTCATCCTTATAATTAATGATTACATCTCGCGGCTATTCCTATGAAAACTACATACTTGAGTTTTTCCTACCGAGCTCGTGCCTCGCGTAACCCATTCGCGTATCCATACGGCGCAACAAGCCCCCCCACCCCACCCCAATCCCTCTCCCCTCTCCCCATCCCCCACCCCACCGATCCCCACCCCTCGATAATGCCCCGTTAGCATCGTGTTCGCCTTTAATTAGTACGGCTGTTTAATTAGCGGGAAAATTACGCGAGCGCATGCGCTTTGGACCCTCCCCCAACCCCCCCCCCCCCCCCCCCCCCCCCCCCCCGCCGATCCCCACCCCTCGATAATGCCCCGTTAGCATCGTGTTCGCCTTTAATTAGTACGGCTGTTTAATTAGCGGGAAAATTACGCGAGCGCATGCGCTTTGGACCCTAAAATTGAGTCGTTCTTAGGATAATTGAATAGGAGCTGCGCACTGAGCTTTTGAAAAATTATCAGAGCATTAGAGTTCTCGGACCTTTCGTCCGATCTTACATATTATTATATTCCGATACTTGTTTACCCAGTACTTTCATTATTGCAATGTACTTGAAACTTGTAACGGTCGATGGATAAGGATGATCATAATGCTAATCAGAATTCAACAAACAATTTGGATTTATCAGTATTTTCACTTAAATTTTTTTCACTGCAAATCTTTATATTCCATTGTCTCATTTAAGTATAAATAATAAGAATTACAAGGTAGAAGGGAATAAAAGGTTAATGAGTATTATTAGGTCGATGTGTTATTCTAAGGAGTTTAAAATACTTTACAATCGTACAACTTCCACTCGATATTTTATTCTACATACATTTACCACGGACATTTTCACACATCTACATTTGTGTCCATAACGCCTAACGACAAAACGTACGACTCTATCCAGTTATACTTTATTTATACAGTTGATCGATGAATTTTGCTTAACTAATCAATCTATCTATCTATTTGTGCTGTATCATATGTCAAGTTCATTTAACATGCATTTAAAACAAATATAAGGCGATAATTTCTAATGATACATCGTAGTTGATAAATCGATATTCGTTTAATGTCAAAAGTGCACAATCACGTGGTCGGAACATTATACCAAATGGATTGTCCAGCGTACGTTGCCCCGAGTTTAAATGTGTGTGTGTGCGCGCGCGCGCGCGCGTGTATGTGTGAGATAAAACATTTTCGCCATGAATAAGGGAAATTAAAATAATAATGAAACTAAAATTGCAGATGGTGTGACTGTTTGCGGTAATAGTCTCGTGAAACATCAAAATAATTTATCAATATAAATGCGTGCATGTAAGTGCTCGCGCGCGTTTTCCCGCTAAATGAAATTTCCTTACATCAATGGGTGAGCAGAGAGGACCATTCGTTTTATCTCCTATTCGGGAATTTAGCTCAAGGCACAGGGATGCACAGTCAAAAATGAATTTCCATAATTCATTGAAACAACAAAAGTCATATTAATAATTTGCTGCTCGAAAGAACGGGTTAATATTTAGTTCTACTTTTCGGAACTCGAGAGGGAGGCTAAGCTGGATCGTCCTCTGGCCATTAATGCAATCACGATATCACTTGATTCTGTCCAGCGACTGACTCGTGCATCCACGACACGATAATCCTGGAGGGAAAAGTAGCGGAGGACGACAATGAGTCCGTATATTATGGGAGGCTCGTCCTCGGTTGACAATCACATGACCATCGTGGCAATGACGATGCAAGGCTGACCCAATTTCGCGCTTGGATCCAAGTCAGTGGATCAAAGGATCGATGGCCAGTCATTTTTCTCTCCCTTTCATTAAAAAAATCTCCCATGATCGAGGCTGCGCTTTGCCGATTGTTTATTTGGGCCACCGAGTGCGCTGTTTTTTTTTTCTTCTTTTTTTTTATCTTATTGCCGAAGACTGAGTTTCGAAAGAGAATCTGCATGATTCGCAAGTGCATTTTTACTTATAACAATTTATCCAAATTTTATGAAAAAACGTTGAGGATCTAGGCAAACGCCATATGACTTTATGTCATATGTTTGAATAAAAATCTGCAGTTGGTCATACTTTGTACATCATGCCAACCTCTCGGCATTAACGTAAGCTACGTTAATTTCACAATTAATCTAATATTGTGCTTCACTTAAAAAATCATAATATAACATGCAGCTAATGTAGTTTGAGGAAATTGGAGGGAAAATATTGTAGTGTTAGCGTTGGCAAAAATCTTATATCACAATGAAATGCTAATTGTACAGAACACGTGATTTTTCTTAAAATAGCAAGGATAAACGGTCGTTATATAAAGAATACTTAAAGCAGGATAAAATGTATTATTTCAAATTGGAGGTATTTTCATCGTATTTTCAAGCATTGGCTTGGCAAAATTACCACTCTTCGTCTACTGACAAAGATACATTGTCGATACGAGGAGAAGAACGCAGTAGAAAAGCAAAGATCTACATGCGCTCGCGTGCACAAAAATACTAAATGCAAATGAACCGCCGTTGCCTTGTCGATTCCCTTAAACGATGCGGAGGGCTAAAGGATATTTTTCGAATCCCCGGGCGAGGATTATAGGGGATGAGCTTGAGTGAAGCGAGATTATTAGGATATGAATGTGGGGCTTCCGTTCGTAAACGTGGAAGTCTCGGAGCGAGAAAATTCCGATGAGTAGTTTTAAAAGGCGTAACGAATTTTAATGCCTTCACTCGTTAGCCATCAATATGTTTGCGTTATGTTACGACTGGAAGGATTAAGCAACTTTTATCATCGCCTTTAATCTTTAATAATGTACGAGCTACTAAATAACTGTTTTTCTTATTTCTTTTTTTCTTTCTTAATTTTTCTTCTTCTTTTATTAATCGATAAAATTTGAGGCAAATATCTTATATCAATAATTTAATTTAATATCCTTACTAATAATCTTGATTATTAATTTCTCTTAGTTTTTGTGGACACTTCCATTTAAACTTTCCATCGTCTATAAAGATACTGATACATGTATGTGCATGTCAGTGTGCCGTTGATCGCTATTTATACAACGTATGATATTCATCATACCAGTCTTTACAGTTACATGTTTTATTGTGCTCATGGAATGTTTAAAAATTCTGCAACATTGCTTATTAAACATAATTCGATAAACTAATACGTTCACGAGTACTGTCCACACGCCATGAGAATCCATGTTTCTTTCTCCCATGAACCCTCTTACCTCATACTAATATATTAATAAATCGTCGATAAATCCTGATTTCTACAACAATTCTCACGCATTTAATTGCTCGCCACTAAGGCAGCCAAGGACAACGGCGTATTATTGTGTGCGTACGAAAAGCCCTAAGTCGCGAATTATCGGGCACGAGATCGAGGCGTAATCGGCGGCTCGTCATCCACGGGCGTAATAAAGCGACGGACAAAGAAAGGGCCGGGAGGGGGTGGAAGTGCCTCCCACCTCGGGCCCGGCGTCGAGGTTAAATTACATAGGCGCCGTTGAGGTGGACGAGGCGGGAGTCCGAGAAGGCAATACGCGCACGCGAAAGCCGCTCCGGGATGCTTAAATCGCTCGCGCGCGCGCGCGCGCCACGATCGATTATGCTGTCGATCATCCTGTCGAAGAGTCGTGATCTCGGCACGTGAGGCGGGTTCGCGAATGGGCCGGGGGAGGTGGAGGCCGAGGGAGACGCTCGGCAGCGGAGAAGCGAAATACGAGGTTTTCACGAGGTTCTGCGAATGCTAATACGCGCGGATGCTGTTGCGAGGAGAAAGAACGAAGGGGATGAAATTATTACCAACGGGTTACGTGCGAGCGCTCCTTAGGTTTTCTTGCGATCGAACGCGAGATACGCTCGTGATGTTTTTTTTTTTTATTATTATTTTATTTTTATTTTTGTTTTTTTTTTTGTTGCCGCATCGAGTTCACGGTGCTCGGTGGGAAGAGTTTGTGCAAAACCGTCGTTAATGTTTAAATTAAGAGGGTAACGAGGGCATTAATGCGATGATGTTTGACATTTTTAAAAATCTAAGCTTCTTCTCGCACCAAAACAGCCGCTATTAATGCGAAAACAATGCGAAGACGAATAGATTATTTAAAGGGGAAATGTTAGTGCTACCAATGTCAAGCTCTTGTCATAATTGCAAGAATAAGAATAATTGCTGATACTTATGCGGCAATGCATTGAACGTCTCCGGGGAAAATCACATTTAAGCATTTTCATTTTCAATTTCTCCCTACGAATTACTTGAATAGACTTACGTAAGCCTTCCTTTACAATTATTTATTCGAGACGGCTACAATCCTCCACTCCTGCACGCATCCATTCATCTACGTAAGCAGTCTTGGGAACAACACGAGCCCATCCATCAACATCCGAAAACTTAATTAAGATCTCTCGATCATCGAGCGTCACATTATCCCGCTCGATCTCCGCATACATAATGCAGACATTATCCGTCGCGACTGTCCGAGCAGCGTAACTCTTGTCAAAATTATCGACCACGTAACTCTAATATCTCCGTACAGAATCGCCTCCCAGCCACTACACCACACACATGCACAAAAACGTAATCCTACTCGGAGCCCCGGAGACTACGATTCTTTTCACCATCTCTCACCGATGGGGACATGTTTCTCCATGCGTCGTAATATCGAATCCTATCTCGATCGCTCGAGCGAAGCTAAGGATGGAAATGTGAGAAAGGGCGGGAGCGGGACTCGGAAAGTGGATTAGAGGGACGGAAGTGAGACGAATGAGTCGTGCGACGTACTAACAGCCAACTCGTTTTCTGTTTCAGGTACGAAGAAACGAATCGACGAGGTGACAGCGCCGAGGACCATTCACGAGATATCCGAGCGAGCGCTTAACTGCGGCCTCACTCTACCCGGTAAGAATTACAGTGACTACTTTATTGGATTACACGGCACTTGAGCTTGGATGAATGAACTCGTATTGGATGAATCATGTTTTAAGGCATGTTTTAAGGGATGTTTTAAGGGAAGGGAAATTTGCTTGGCCCCGTCGAATGCCCAATCGCCAATCCCCAAGTGGATCGTATATACGCACTCGTCAATCATGTGTCAGACTCTCCACTGCGTGTACGTTACACCATCTGCGTGGCGATCTACGACAATCCATTAGCTGCTTATAAAATGCAATCGTTGCAGCGTTTATTGCTCGTGTGTAGCCAAAAGTCAAAGATTATTGTGCTTGACATTGTTGTAGGAACATGGCACGGCATATCGAATCATGAAAAATCATTGTATTTAACCGAGAATAATATTACAGATTCGCGGACTATCGATTAATGAATCTCTCGTTAAGCTATTAATGCTGCTATAGCCCACTTAAAAATATACAATATTTTTAATTAGCAATGTGATTCGCTCGCGTCCATGTTTCTAAACGCACTCGACATCATCATTCAATGGTAAATGAATTATCGATAGAAGCTGATAAACTCTACCACCAGATCAAAATAAGAACATTATCTTCTCTTAGCTTTGGTAGCGCATACATTCGAATCACTTGGCGATAGTCGATTGAAAAGTTTGATGGGACTTAATGTTCTCTCTCTCTCTCTCTCTCTCTCTT